AGTGGGATGGCCTACAGCTGATAATTACGTTCTGATCAAGTTGGTGATTTCTTAGATTCATCAGTTTCCTGTGTTATTGTAGAGCATTGCAACTGGTAGGTTTGGGAAGTGCACCGTGATTAGTTCAGACTTGCTCCTGCCTGTAAAAGGTGATCATCCTCAAGTAGACTTCCTGTGTTTTGAAGCAGGATTTCTTGTGGGCCTGAGATGTTGAATCAGTCTGAATTTTTGTAATTTATCAATTTAAAAAAACAACCAACCAGCTATAGAGCAGTAACTCTGACATTGAGGTTAAAAGTATGTTTAATTGGAGTTCAGTTAATGCATAAACTTCTGTTATTTCTCTGCTTCTTTTGTTGTTGTTAAAGTCTGGAAGTATAAGTCTGAGGACATGGATACACCTAACTTTCTGAACCATATGCTACTTTAGTCTGGACTATCATATCATTTAGTTCATATTCTTCATTAAATTTAACTACTTCTTTCAAATACATTGCCTTGAATCTGCAAATTCTATCGAAATCAGAATGATCTTATTCTCAAGCTGCTCATCTGAACATCAGCCCATTTTAAGGCTTTAGTTATCTTTGTTTCCATATGTTTTAGTATAAGAAATAGTAAAATTTTTATTATATTACATAAAATATAGTATATAATTAATACACAGTTTTAAAAAATTCTTAATTCTTTAAAAACACTGGCAGCTGAATGTTTGTAATAGATTTCAAAACTTTTGAAAGAAGCTGGCCCTCAGCCTGATTTCCTTTGTGTGGAAAAGGACTGTGTGTGCTTACAACTGTTCCTTAATCCAAGGGGCAGTAAGTAATCCCTACCTACAGGGCATAGTTTCTTAAAGTGTTTGGGTATCTCTTTTTGATCTGTATGATCCTGAGAAAATTTGTATAGTCCATCAGTTTACAGGGTGTTTATTTGGTACATAAGATACATAGGTTAGCTTATATGGCTTGTAAATTACATATTTAAAATGGAAATAATATATTTGACGCTAGAAATGTGTAGATGACAAGTTAAAAAGCAATCTGAGGTCTGGTCCTCAGGAGTCTTCAAAAGGTGATGAAGAAAGAAAGGAATTATTAGCATTATCAGTAGCCTTCAGTTTGAGGTGTGTCCACACTCCCACTAGAAATTTGGTTTCGACATTTGTAAGTGTTGATTTGTATATTTGTTTATATTATATTTGCTTAATTGTTTATATTATGTTACTGTCTGGCCATTTTACGCTGATCAAAGTTTTTACAAATTACATTGTATTTTTGACCTGGTTTTCACACGTGTAGCATTCTCAGAAGACTACAACATAAACTAATCAAAAAAAAAAACAAAAAAAAACCACAAACCTGCTCCTGAACGCTCTATAGTTAGGATATAAAATTTAGATAGACAATGTCTTGATTCTTCAGTGGCTTTCATTTGTGTCACATAGTGCTGTTGACATCATTGTAATCCCTGAAGATACAGAACATCCAGAAACACACATATAGGTGCAGAATCTGGATATTGAGTTAAAATTTGGAAAGACCCATTAGTGGAACCAATTTACTCTTTCATTCTCTCTAGTTAATGTAGATTATATATTTAAAATTGAAAACAGTTTCTAAATAGTTAGGTAGGTGTGAATGAGCTAGCTGCTTTGGCTGACCTGTAGCATCTGTAAAAGCAGTGCAAATGTATAAAATGCAAGGCACTAATTTTGTATAATTCCAATTTCAGATTGATTTAAACCAACCTATATTCTTTGCTAGGTTTGCTTTCAGCAAATAGTTCCTTTTAGTTCCTTGTATGATTGTAGAGACTAAGTGCTAGCATTGATAGTTTTATATTTTAAGAAGCTACATTAGTTTACAGGGTGGGGGGATGTCTTGTGATTGCTTCAGCTTGTGTATGTGATGGATGGAACAGAGCTGTGCAGTTGGCAAAGGGAGGTGGAAATTACATCAATTCCAGCTAGGGAAGAGAGGGGAACACCTCCTCTTGGAGGCAGCCTGTGGGGCAGCTCCAAAATGGCAGTCTTAGCTGAATGTAAATCTTAGAGAAGGCAAATCTTAGAAAGAAAAAGAAATAGCAAAAAATAAGGGAAGAAATGGGAAAAAAAAAAATAATGTGTACTAACTGTAAAAAGGAATCCATGATCAGAAGGGAGTGAGAAAGCTGAGTTGCTTTAGCTCTTCTCTCTGCAGTGAAATAGCCTTTGTGTGAAGCTAAGAGAATACAGAGTGGGCAGGGTGTGCTTGTTTTTTAAAATGGTCAAGCTGGGGAAAAAGCGAGTCTAATTTTTCTGTCTTTCCTAGTTTACCCTTTAGCATCTTTAAATGTATGATAATACTTGCCATGTTATGCTGAGCTGTGGTCTGTCTAAACCATTATCCTGTTTGTGTAAGAGCTAGTAGGAAATGTTTAGGGAGACCTGTAAGAAATGCAGCATATTTAGAGGGAGCTTTATCTTCTGTCTTAGCAGTTTTGGGCATTGCCTTTTTTGCCATGATACAATAATGAATTAAAGATCTTTATGAAAAATCGTTCACCATCTGTATGGGATGTCAGATACTTTCAAAGTGTTTTACTTCATGATTGGATAGTTATACATAATTTCTTATCTAAGCTGAATAGTCACTTGTTGAGCTTTGAATTAAAATTGTTGAACAACACAGTATATAAATTGCCTGTTAAATTGGGAAACAAATTCATTGCATTCTTTAAAGCAAGTGAGAGATTAAACACAGGCTCTTCCTGCCATAAACGTCACCAGAAGCATTATCATTGGGAGTACAGAAATTAGTTAACCTTTGAAGCTCTAAATGAAGCTAGAATTGCCATGTGAACTTGTCACATCTTTCAAAAAAATAATTAAATCATTTTAAAGTTTTTAAATTTTTAATCTGGAAGACAGTTACTCTACACCTAACCTTGAGTTCTTTAGATAACACTAGCAAGAACGTCTTTGTGTGCAAATCTATTTTCATGCATGTGGTTATTCAAGATACCCTCCTAGAAATCGTTGTCATATTTCATTAAAATGTTAAAATATTTAATTACTGTAAACCACAGGGGGATACCAGTGTTGTAATTGCATTTAAGCTGAGGAAGAAAAGTAATTTGTTTTTCAAGTCCTGCTGATGTTATTACCAGTGGCATCAGCACTTTACCCTTTTTATTGTTTAAAAACTGATTAACTGCATCATTACTGTGAAACAGTATAGTATAAAAAGTTAATATGCATTTTAATACATCACACTAACACAGTGTGACAGTGGTGAATGCCTTTAAACGCATCTGTAAGTTTGAGACGTTACTGCCTTGTTATTTGGAGGAGGTATTTTTTTTTCTTGTTCAGCATGGTTGACTTCTTGTTTTGAGTTTTTATGATGGGTAAAATGTTTCCTTTTGGAATACATGCTTGGAAGAATGGCACAAATGGGAGAATATGAAATCTGGTATGTGTTACAGTAAAATGGTGTGAGAGAAATTGGACAAAACGTTTGAAATTATCCAATATTTTTGATGGAGTGTTGTTATTAGTTTAAAGAGAAACTAATTGTAAAAGATACATGACTGACAGCTGAAAACCTGTTTGAGAACGTAGCATAAACCAATTTAAGACAAAGTTGGCTTTATGAGAAAATAATAATAAAAAGTTAATGGGGAAAAACTGCAGTCCTGTTTAAGCGCTGTATTTCATGGCTCTGAATTTATATAAAAATGTTTGCTTCATTCCGCTTGTCCCAATGTTTCAAAATGTGCCCTAAACCAGTTCCTAACTGTATTACAATTTGTAACCTGTTTAGCAAGTCAGAGGAATAAGTTTGCTTTCAAACCTGCATACGCTTACTTGCCTAGATCACTGCTCTCAGGCAGTGAAGGGCTCTGGTCCTAGAGGCGAGGTACAAAGCAGAACCCACCCGTGTGTGTTTCCTTCTGGTTCTTGGTTTGGTGTGTGTGAGAATAGGAGGAGGTGGCTGCCAGAGGGTGATTCAATAATGATCTTGGGGTGATGGTGTTGGGGAACAAGGAGAAAGGGAGCCAGACAACCTGTATTCTAAAAATATAGGGACTAACTGTTCTAGATGGTTGGTATCAATGGAAGGAGAGCATCTTCTGCAGGACTGCCGGAGCTAGTGCTTACATCCATGTCTACCCTGGAGATGGGGAAAAACAGAAGGCAGGCTGTTGGTTGGGGGGACAGGTGCCCAAAAGTTTTGGGAGGCTAGTCTAACTAGGCTTCTTCTGCTCCTTCCTAGCCAAGGAGAGATGCTCTTCTAGAGGATGATTCAGAACATGAGTCTGAAACAGCTTCTTTAGAAAAGTTCCTCTCACTCTTGGTTATAGAGGAAGTCTAGGCATAGTGGCCTCCCAAGGTTAAGTTTAGACTTCCTGAATGTCACCCTCAAGCTCTGGTGAAGTAATTGCAGTGAAACGCTGCCTTCTGCTTATTTATGTTAAGCAGAGCTTGTTGTGAAAATGATGGCTGACTAATTAAAGATACTGGTATGTACCATAATCGACAGATACTTCTGATTTTGAAAACATGCTGCTAAGCATGCACATTGTATCTGAGTTTCCAAATGGTTTGTCTATAAGCCATTTTGACATCTGGAAGTTGCAAAGAGTCAAAAACAGACCACAAAAGCTCTCAAAAACCTTCCCTTTTTATCCTATACCTCCTTTTTGCACTGTGGTACAGTCAGTTTGTAAATTAGTTTTGACCTTTTTTGGTTAGATGTACAGGGTGTTAATTCATAAATTTTAGCATAAGCAGAAGAGGAAATTTGAATGGCAAAAGTTCATATTAATGTCCCAGATAATTTCTAAAACCTGACAAATTCAGAAAACTACTGATGTTGCCAGTGAAGGTGTATGTAAATACTCTTGTTTCAAAGCTTGCATCCATGTAAGGCTTTCTTCAGTATTTTGGCACTGAGTAATGATGGGTTTTTTGCTGCTACAGTGAATTTACCTAGAGAAATTTTTTTTTCCTAAACCAGAAAGAACTCTGCAATATGATACTCGACTGCTGTGCTCAGCAAAGAACGTATGAGAAATTCTTTGGGTTACTGGCAGGGGTGAGTTCTATTTTCAGTTTTTATACTTTATGGTAGATAATTTCATTGGTTTACTATATTTTTTGTGTGTCAAACTTAAGTTTTAATGGATAAATAAACTAATAGTATTTTTATTCTGAAAATGGTCGTATTAGTGAATTAACGTTTTGATTGTAAGAAGTATAGTGAATGCAGAATGACAGAACTAATTTTTTCTTTATATTGTTACTTTTTTGCCACCCTCTTTAGAGCAATAAGTCGGTGGCAAAGGAATGGTACTAAAAAGAGGTAACAGTATTCTGAGTTACCAGAAAATATCCTTTTTACAGTGCTGAAGATTAATTTTGGAGACGCTTGTCTTTTAACACTTCATTCAAAGCTGCTTAGTAGGTTTTATTCAGAGTACAAGACTAAATACTGTCCCGGGGTTGTGTGTGGGGTTTTTAAATTTGTTTTTTCAGTAAGCAATCTCTTTAACTAATTGCTAATTCAGTTGCAGTTATTTCTTAGTTAAGTTTTCCCTGTCTATGTTATTGGCAGGTCTGATAGTTAAGATAAAACACTAGCTTTCTCAAGGGAGCAAGTTACGCTGAAAGGGAGAGGTTTTTTCCATTTGTATTATTCATTTAGTATTTGAGGAAATACTTCTGCTCACCGTCAATTACAAAGCACTAATCATGTGAATCTACATGTTCAGTAGAACATAAATGTTAATTTCCGTGTTCTTTGTAATGTTTGTCTAAAATGTCTTACTGCTGTGTTCCCTGCTGCCTCTCTAATTTTAAGTAGTCATTCAGTGATGTCATGAAAAGTTAAATTTGTTGGGGTTATATCAGGTGAAAATACTGGATGTATGGGAGTAAAAGAAACTGCTGAGTAATTTACTGTAGTTCAAAACTGATAATTAGTACTTTGCAATGCAGATGAGTTTCTTGGTCTGACAAACTGATGAAAGCAATAAAACATATCCATTTGAAAGTATATTCTTCTCCTCCAAGGGTTATTTAAAAGGAAAATCTCACAGTAAATATTTGCACCATTAGGTCACTTACATGTAGGTTATTTGAATATTTAATATTTTGTTTAATCTGGTTGTTTAAATTGTACAATGTTGTCTTAGCGTTTCTGCATGTTAAAAAAAGAATATATGGAGTCCTTTGAAGCTATTTTCAAAGAACAATATGATACCATTCATCGTTTGGAAACAAACAAACTGAGGAATGTTGCCAAGATGTTTGCTCATCTACTGTACACGGATTCAATTCCCTGGAGCGTAAGTAAAAAAAGTGATTGTCCTAGATTTCTTCTTCAATAATTAATCTCCAGTATTCAGAAATAAAATACAATATATTAGTTTTCATATTTTACTATAATTACAAGTAGTTCCAAATTGTAGAATAACTGGATTATTTTAAGTATCTTCTCAGACATTGTTGAACAATTTTGTGTTGCTCAATCTCCTCTTTCTGCTTCCTGTGCATCCTTTTCCTCCCTCCTCCATTCTTAAGTAGCTGATTTAAGCTGTTATTTTATGGAGCTCAGCTGAAATTGGTTGATTAAAATGTACTTTTTTAGAATTTTGAACTTTTAATCAGCAATGTAAATAGAACTTTCTTTTAAAAACAAGCCTAAAGAAACTTTTAAGACTTTTAATTTAATATAGAATGATATCGAATCATAAGAAATTTTAAAATATTATCTTTTTGTGATTTAAGTGCCAAATAAAAGCAAAATTAGTCTTTTAGTTATTTCAGGAGGACAAAAGCTTTTAAGATAAATAAAAGAAGGTATGTTTAAATTTAAGGGCTTTTCCTAAATATTTTTAGGTCCTTGAATGTATAATACTGAGTGAAGAAACTACCACATCCTCCAGTAGAATTTTTGTGAAAATATTCTTCCAGGAACTCAGTGAATATATGGGACTTCCTAATCTAAATGCAAGATTAAAAGATGAGTAAGTTGAATTTTTATTTTGAAAACTGTAAATTTAGTTATCTGAAAAAATATAGATGAGAACTCTGTTTTCAAGTTCAACTAAGACTGAGCTTTTGTAGCTGCCATACTTTAAGAATAAGTTCTTGTATAGATTTAGTCATTGCAGAGTCCCATTAAGCTGAGTGTGTTATCATCAATTAGCGTTTGAGTATGTGCATGACTATTCGCAAGACATACCATGTATGGGTTTTTTTCCCTCAATGTTATTCAGCTTGTATAAGAATTTTCCAAGTGCAAGTCTATTTTTATGCATTCTCAGCTATATAGCTATGTAAGAAATGTTACTGTGTCGTCTTTTTCTGACAAAACTTAGAAAAAAGCATGTAACTATTATTAACAGTTTTTCTAGGATTAGTTGCTTATCCTTAAGTGTAGGGTAAATAGCACATTCTTGTAAGCCCGTATGTGATCTAATGCATTGCATTCTGGCAATGTTCCTTTTAGTTGCTTAAGCTATTTCCTGTAAGTTGTGATTTCTTCTGTGTATGATGAAGAATTTAGTAGATGCTTTAAATTTGAAACTACGTAGTGCCCTGTTTGATGGGATTTTAGCACAAAGGTACCTAGATCTTTGAACTCTTTGGTCAACAAATATTACACTGTGCTATCACAGGCTACTGCTATTTCACAAGTCTCTCCAGGGCTTCACAAAATCAGGCTTTGTGTTGTCATAATATGACAATATGTATGTAGTTCTGCAGAGGAAGTTTATCTTTTCATAAAAGAGCAAGTGTTAAAATAGCCTTTTGATCAGATACATCATATACAAACAGTGAAAGTATTGAAAAATGCATGAAGAGAAAACTACTGTCCTATGGAGATCTATACAATTTCTCTTTCAGTTTATTAATGTCAATGAGAATTAGTGCTAAGCTGGCATGGTGTTTAATACAGATGTTTGTTTTCATCAGAACACTGCAGCCTTTCTTTGAGGGATTATTGCCTCGGGATAACCCAAGAAACACTCGCTTTGCCATCAATTTCTTCACTTCTATTGGCCTTGGAGGACTAACGTGAGGAACACTTTTCAGATTTGATATTTATTTTCCTTATCTCCCCTCCCCCCTACAAAAAAAAAAAAAAAACCAACATTTTTTTTTGTTAATTAGGGATGAATTACGGGAGCATCTTAAAAATGCACCAAAGATGATAATGACACAGAAACAAGATGTTGAGTCGTCAGATTCATCTTCATCTTCAGAGACAGACTCTTCCTCAGACTCTGATTCTGACAGCAGCAGTAGTAGCTCAGAGTCATCCAGCAGCAGTGATTCCTCATCTACCAGTGACAACAGCAGTGACTCAGGTAATTATACACTAGTTATAACTATTTACTTACCTTATTTACTTCTATACACCTATTTATTTTTATTTCTATGTATACTTGTTTTGAAGAAAAACAAGCTATAGACAGTGTTAGTTTCTCCACTTTAAAAATGAACCATTTTTTTTAAACTTACAGGTTTTAAAATATTAAATATTGCTTATGGAAATTTATTTTCATATTTAGGAAAACTGAGTTCCATTTTTAGAGACAAAGGAATATTGTAGATTACTTTTTTTATACAGTTAACTGTTGCACAGTACTATCACTTCAGTTCAGTGGAAGATGGAGGGATTAGAGTAATTTCCTATTAATATCTCGGTGGGATGCTGACTGGTGAACTGTAGAGACTAATGTCTATAATACTCTTTTGGTTGGCTTGAGTGAGCTTGATACTACTTGTGTCCTTCCTTGTAAAAATGTGCTGCTTCATGGGTCAGGAACTACATTGTTCAGTTCTATCAATGTGCTTAAATTTTATTCTTCTGAGTCTCCATTTCTATTTCCTCTTCCTCAGGAAGAGTTTGTGAGGTGATATAGTGAAGGTTCTTGTCTATAGAGAAATCTCCAAGGAAGAATTAGCTTTTGCTGGCAACTTAATATCTCATAGTTTTATGTATTATAATTGGTGTTTAGCATCTTATACCATCCTGCTGATGTAGAACCTTCTATTTGGTGTGAAGTGTCATAAACATTGCTTAATCTATAAAGTACATGCTAGTATGAGTTAGTGTGTGCTGTTTCCCCCATTGTATATAACATGAGCAGATGATAACACAGCATGACTTTCTATAGTACCGAAGCTTGCTGATTCAAAGATAATTTGATTTATTATGTGCCTTTGAAATTAAAATGTTGATGAATAAAATAAAAGCAGTGTGAACTGCTCATGCTTTGGAAATGCATTTTTGTTCTCCATTGCAATTTTAATGTACGAAGTGATTTGTGTGTCATCGCATTAATGACTACAAAGCACTAGAGGAGGGCACAGTTAAACAGGGTCAGAGAAGGTGTTGGTTCAGCAGAGTGCCAGATGGCTCCTGCGTGGACAGCTGCAGCTCTGCTGAGCTGCTTGATAGGAACCAGAGAGGTAAGTCCTCAGTGACAGATCAACTGAGTCTGCAGTCTGCTAGTATGAACACTTTATTTTTGTAAGTTTAGAACCTTCCCTTTTACTCCCTGGCCATGTTCCATTCAGGAACATGTTTACTAAAACTCACGTTTTGCTATTTTTGCAACAGGTTTTCACTTTTTTCTGGTTCTTGTGTACATAAATACAGAGGTCAGAACACTAATTGGAAATAGATAACTATATTCTTTAATGGTCAACTTGGTTAAGGTCCATTACTGGTTATAACTCCAAGTCTTCCTGTGTTTGCAGCTTTTAAAATCTTTTAAAATAACATGGTAGAGTTGAAAGGCATTTTTCAGAGGAATATGCTTCGTTATTTCAGTGTCTAAGAGAAAATAGAACAATATAGAAAATAGAAAAACTGCTGACTAGAAATTGAGCACACAGCTAAATTAAAAATTACTATCTTACTGACAGTTTAATGTGTGGAACTTCACCAGCTAGCTCAGCTCAGTGCTCTGGAGAGGTCATTCCAAGCAAAACCAGTCCAACAGAGGATGAAATCTGTCTGTTGTCAAAGCAGTTTGGTCCTGTGTATTTACTTTATCAAGACTTTCTCTGCATTTTGGTAAATGGAAAATATTAGATTAAATGAAAATGTAAAATGTAGATGTATAACGATAGGGAAAACACTGTTTTAAAAGCTTCATATATTACAATCGATCTGATTTGATCCATCATCGCATTTTATCAGAATTCTAAGAAGCCTCATGTCTGTGGTATTTCCAAAAGGTGAGTAGAAACAGCTGATATGATACTATAGTTAATACAGTAATGGTTATTCTAAATGGCTGTTACTGATAAATACTGTTGAGTGAAATCTAGAGGTTCCTTATAAAGAGCAAACAGGAAGAGTAAGGCCTCTTTGACTGAGATGAGCTCTACTGTGTATTTAGAAATACAGAAGTTTAGTTTTAATCACAAATTGTTGACAAAGCTGTCACTGTTTCTCCTGAAAATGAGCCAGAGGGCTATTGTTATGTTGCTGCAGTACTACTGTCTCAAGCCATTTCAGCATGCCTGTTTCCTCATAGGATAGTGTTGGAGATTTTTTTCCCATCTGCTGTTTTTAATCTCCATTGGCTGATAAGCTTTTCCAGGAAGTAACTGGAGAAGTAAATGATTTTAAGAGACTGTATGGTCTGGGAAAGGTGATCTTCCTTAAGAAAACTGTGAGGGTGCTTTGACATATGACTTCACAGCCTATGCCTGGTCCTTTTGTGTTAAGTCAACAAGAGGATGATGATGGGTGGAGGTTCTCAAAAATCAGGTATCACTTGCAGATAGCTAAGGGATAAAAGCCCTGATAATGGATACTCATGAGTGGCTGCCACATCTGTACAAATTTGAATTGTTCCCTCTTAAGCAGTTAACTGGGCAGGGGAGAGGGAAGCAAGGTGGTTGGAGTTTTGTCAGTGCATAGAATTCCATATCTTTTCAAATATGAAAGAGTGTCTTATAACCAAAAGATTACTGGATTGACAGGCTTGCAGATTTTATGTCAGATTCCCATTTAGTGACTTACTCTGTTTTAACACTGATATGGCTGCTTAGTAATGTTTTGCATTCAGGTGCAGGTCTGTTGGATTTTTTGGTTTGAGGAAAATGTTTCTTTTTTATTTGAGTTGCATCATGTTCTCAATACCTGTACAGGCATTGCAAATGGGATGAAATGCAGAGGGCTCTTCCCTAATTTCTTAATTGTATGCTATTAAGGTTTTGGGATGATGCGTTGTGACCTTTATGTAAAATAAAAACCCTGTAATGCAGACAAACATTTAAAAATAATCGGTACCTGCTCAGTTAAAGAATGGGTGAATTTTCCCCCATTGCATGAGACACTCTGGAGGTGGGGGGGAGCAATTAAGTCAGAGCTTGTTATTTTGAAACCTTTGTCCAGATACATACCCACAAGTTTTCAGACAAAAAACACATCAGTAGAACTTTCTGTGTACTTTAACAGGTTAAGCATAATAAAAATGTAACCTTATTCCCATAATTTGTTATGATTTCAGATGTTCCTAAAGCCAAAAGAAAAAGACTGCAAAAGAAAAACAGAGATTCTGATAAAGTTTCCAAAAAAAAACAAGAAAGGAAAAGGAAATCACTTGAAAAGAAAATGGGAAGGAGACAGCAAGAGGAAAGAAGTGATACTGAGAGCAAATCACAAAGAAATCACCGAAATTTCAGAGAATCACCCAGGAGAGATGACGTATCAAAATATCATCAGAGAGATGAGTCCAATGACAGAGACACTTACCATAGTGGAAAGGATAGGAACCATGAAAGAAGTAAGGATCTAGTAAATAAACACAGTAATTCAAAACCAAAGAAAGCAGAGAGAAGAGCTTCTTTGTCTGATGATGAAAATTACAGGCACTGGAGCAAAGATAATGGACATCGCAGTAGAAAAAGAGAAAGATCAAAATCCAGAGAGAGAGGCCATAATAATTCAAGTCCGAGAGAGGACGAACAGGATGACCAATACAGAAACAGTTCAGAGAAGCACAGAGAGAAATACAGCCGTTACTCTGACCAGCACAGAGAATCCAGAAAAAACGAGGACAGACGAAGGGAGAATTCCCCACACAGACGAAAATAATACCTAACCAGAGCTTGACACGTGCATTTCTGAGCTGTTAAAACTGTATTTTAAAATCTATTACTGAACTTTCTTAAAAAAAAATTTTGTACAAAGTGATAGTTTGCATTTGTAAATTTTATCAGACTTTTTCAAATTTTTCAGTGCCACTTTTTTATAACTATTGCGTTGAGTGTTTCTCTTCAGTTCTTCCTTTGGAAAGACAAAGCAGTTTATTTTGTGAATAAAACGATTAAGATCTCAGCAAAATGGGTGTTTTTGTCACTTAGTGTCAAGTATTTGTAATTGTAACTATAGTCTTAAAAATATGGGGTTTAACTTTGCTTGTAAATTGAAAGTCAGATACTGAGGATAGGGTGATAAATGCAAAAATTTCAGATTACAATGTGAATGTTATGTGAGAAGGTGTTATAAAAATTTTCAAAAATCAGCATGAATGCTGCAGGCATTCTGTAGCTGTTTATTCTTTCAACCTCGCAAACATGAAAGCAAGTTTGAGCAAAATTTTCTGGAAATACTTCAGCCAATGATGTTTTTTTTTTTTTTTTGTCAAGAGTTAAAATTTGGAAAAGCAATATTGCTGTTTTAAATGTCACATTTGAAAGTGTGTCAACTTGTTCTGTTACTTTTCACAATGTTTTTTAATATTGCAACATCCTGAGCTAGATACACATGTGATCTTAGGGGAAAAAATTGGGTTGTTTGGGTTTATTTTTTTCAAGTATGAGTTTGATTTTAAAGTCATAGACTTCAATTCTAACCCTAGAAAGGAGGTGTTTAAGGAATATCTTTCCCAGTATAATAAAAAGTAAGAAATCAAAATAAGAGGTGTTTCAGATCTTTAGATGTTTTGAAATATATGACTTGAAGTGCACAAGTTTATTGGAGGCAAAGTTTGGGGGGGGGGGGGGGGGGAGGGGAAATTCAGTTGCTGCAGCAGTTCATATTATAAATTGTTCTACCTGGAGTCATCTGAAGCAAATAGCTCAATGTTCATTGTATGAGTAATGAATCAAAATCATCTGGTTAAGACTTTAAATCTCATCTGTAACTAAGGAAAATTTTGCAAGTCTTTCGGCATGAATTAGGAAATAGTGTGGACATGGTCACTAGGAAAGATAGAGGTGATAGCTGTATATTATGCAATTGTTGATGCTGCAAGACAACTTTTTTTTTACTTTGAAGACAATTGTTGGGCATATGACAACTTGCCCTTTTAATGTGGAAATCATATTTAATCCTGTATAAAGCATAGAAAGTATTTTCGAGCTGTTTTATAACAGAAAATAGAACAATTCCTAAGGAAATACATCAGTTTTGCCTAAAGCTTGTCACAGCATTTTTTTCTAAGAAAAATGTCACATTTTTTAAATGTTTTCTCTGTATTTAACAGAATTTATTTCCACAAGCTTTCATGTAATAAAACATTTTCAGTCAAACATTTGCATGGCAAAGAAATTCATGTTGCAGAGAAAAAAATAAGGTTTCTATCTTGTTATACCACATAGCTTAAAATGCCTTAGTGGCATCATGAGGTATATGTTTAAACTGGTGGGTTTTTGTCCCACGCACTTCTCATTTTCAAAATGATTTGTGCATTTTGGCAGTGTGTGTTAATTCCAGGAGAACTTAATTTGAAAGAATGCTTTTATAAAAGAATTCTGCTGATAACTGTTATACTGTTTTGATAGCTCTCTACGAATATTATTGAAAATTATATGTACTTTATAAAGGTTTAATTGTATGAACTTAGTTTACCTAGAGTAATACTTCTCTTACTGTTATGGGTTTAATAGCATAGATTTTTATTAACCCATAGCTTTTGAGATATTCTGTTAAGTCAAAAAGCTTCTTAATTACATCTTTAATAAATGGAAATACATTAAAGCAAATGTGGAAACAAAACCTTTATTAAAAAATAAAACGCTTGATGTCAGACATGCTGATCAGAAAATGCCAGCTTAAACATCTCCAGTTCTTTGTGCAATTTCATACTAGCTGATAAAAATACTGTGTTCTTAGATGGTGGGAAAAAAAGAGGGTGGGATTAGGAATTGAGCTGGGACTTCAGCTGCATTTACAATCTCTCGGTGGTTTGGGGTTTTTTTGTTGTTTGTTTTTTTTTTTTGTTTTTTTTTTTTTTTTTTCCAGAAATATGAATAGATATTGAATAGAATGACCTGTTAAAAATAGCTGTTCTTTCTACCATTACTACCCTGAGCAGGTGAATGTTGTCTGGAAGCAGTCAGACGCAGAGCAGCAGTTGGGAGGTGTGCACGCGAAGCAGCAGGCGGGTGCGCAGACCAAGCGTGGCTCCAGCCCAGCGCCCCCCGGGGCAGTAGCACCGAGCAGAGCGCGCTCCCAGCTTCTAGCTGACTGTCCCTTAAGGACTCCCTGAGCCAGAGGCACTATGTGCATCTCTGCATAAGGCCTCGCCCTTTAAATGGCCTAATTCCTGAACTAATTCTGGGGGCACTGTGCCAGCAGTTCCAGTATTTTACTGTACATTTTGCATGAAAGTATGTTTCTTTTATAGCTTCTGCCTGATGATTTTCATTTGCTATTTTCTGATATGTTTTCTGAATAATGGTGTGTAGTTGTTTCCTGCCTGCCATCTTGTGTGTGATTTTTATAGACCTAAATCTGTATCTTCTTTGCCATTTCTTTTCCAGAAGTTAAAATTCACCTGTAATATATCCTTGTGTGGGACTGTTCTATAGCCATGATCAGTCCTCCTGCCCTCTCTTTATTATATTACTTATATGGGAAAAGAAGTCAAAATACTATGTAGTATTCAGGAGCTGCACAGTGACAGAAGAGCTTTGAGGATCTGTCCGTTTTCAGTCCATCCTCTCAACTGCTGAAGAGCTCAGTGAGCCAAGTGAGGTTGGGCTTGCTTTCCTCTGCAGTAACAGTTAATTGTAGACCACGCACAGTAATGAAGTGACTCATGCATCTAGTCTATAATAAATACTGGAGCTCTAGGTTGTCTTGAATAGCAGTTTTGATGCAAAGACTTCAAGAAGTGAAGGTTCTATGACACTCTTCACTATTTTGCTTGGTTGTTAATCCCTTTTACTTAAAAGTATGACTGAAACAGCCCAGCCTTAGCTTGGTCCAATTGGGTCTGGTTATGACTTGGTTTAATAGACCTCTGCTAACAGAAATCACCTAATGTAGGTACCTCTGGGCTGTGTTCAGGTAGTGGCTTGGCTGCCTCTCAGATAAAATAAAAATTAAACTGCCTTGGTCTTACTGAACTGCAAGTTTGTCACAAGTGCTCTTGACTCAAAAGATTGAAACTTATATCAGGAAAAGGTGCTGTTTATTGGCCCTATAACTGGTAACCTATACCCTTGGACTTCAAAGTGTGTTATGAGTAGGGATGTTCATAGCGATGCAGTGTTGGGCAAAGACCTTGGTCTTTGGGGTATGTTTGAATATAGAACTGTGGTCAGCCTCCTGGGTTGGTTCCCCCAGTCCCTCAAGCTGGTCAGTGTTCAGGTATGAATTACTGTTACGTGGGGCTGTCTGTACCGACCACCTTTGGCTGTCAAGGGGACAGCTGTGAAAGGAAACTTCCAGACTCGGCTGGGTCTGAGCTGCTGTGAAACAAAAAGATGTTTGGGAGGGAACTTACGACGACCTGTTCTGACCTTGTATGCTTAAAATTTACCTTTCCAAAGTAGTTGTAATGTCCAAGTCCATAGATAACAGTGAGAGAGATGCATCCCTTTTGCTAGGTCTCCCTGGCCAAGTTTCTGAATTTCCTCACAGTGGTGAGGTGTTCCAGAGATGAGCCGCTGACTCACCCAGTGAATTCACCATCCTTGTAGGACTAAATCTGGACTGAAATGTTTGTGGCATTTGTAAGAACCATTACTGTGTTCTGTAACTATAAATGTATTTGGAGTAAGGCCTGTGAAGCTTGATTATTCATATACCCAAGTCTGAAGAATATTTTCTGGGGGAAAAAAGGACTACCACTGTTTAGGCCATCTTGTTATATAAATCGTAAAAATATGATCTGATAGTATTAAAGCAGTTAGATAAATTTTGCGACAAAACTATCTACTCTCTTTGTTAACAATACTTTACAATTGCCATTCTTACAATTGCTCATGCTTTCTGATGCCCCTTCAGTTGCTATTTAAGCAATATTGCAGTCTTCACACTGTATGTAGTTCATGTCCACAGTTCTGTTTGGGAATGAGAACATGACAACAAAAATGTTTTTCTGTCTGTATTGTTCCTGTTAAATGCGTTTTACAAACAGATCATGTACATACTGAAAATCAAATTCAATTCTGAAAATTACTAGTAGTACTAACTAGATTTGTGTGGTATATTATTTTAACCTAGGAGTATGGTGTTCTCTAATTTACTTAAGGCTTCAGTAACATGACACTTCTTAACTTTTGAATGCAGGGTATACTCTAAAATAGCTGAGCACATGTCAGCAACCAAAAAAATACATCAGCTAGGGTGGACACTTCAAGCTTCAGGAGCAATCTGAGTGCCTCCCTGTCATTAAATTTTTACAGTCTAGGAATATAAAATAAGACACTAGCTTATGTTCATTCACCATTCTTAAACTACTTTGAAATATCTTTCACTGTTGAGGAAAGCATAAGGTTAATTTTCGTGGAGAATCTAAAAAAGCAAGAGCCTATTTTGTTAGCAGACAGAATTGACTTCAGTTACTCTAGTAACATTCAGAGAGCAAGGAAACTTGTCCTTCAGTTTATTTTCAATTGGGTAAGTCAGTATTTTTTAAAAAAGCTTTTTATTTGTCAAAGTAATTTTTTTAAGAAATGGTGGAGTCAAAACGCAGAATAAATGGGTATTTTAATTAAAACTCTTCATAAAACATGTATTAGTAGGTTGAAAGTGTCATGAGCAAAGTATTACTTTATACGCTGGAAAAACTTGAGGTCACTTCAGAGATGTTCTGCTTTTTATATATTTTCCTCAAGCAAGTCTATAATTTGGCTGGGACTAGTTAGGGATTTTCTTTTCCTGTCTACTCATGACTATCATCAGGCATTTTCTTCTAACTTAAAAAAAAAAAGGCGGGGATGCAACTTAAAACTTTAGCGTTGCTTGGAAAATGATTTGTTAACCCATAAACCAGACAAGTCAGTTAAGAAAATTAACTGTCACATTTTGACTCTGTTTAAACTATGTTTCTTTTGAGTTACCTTTTTCCGATACGGAGAAGGCTGAGGTACTCAATGACATTTTTGCTTCAAGTCTTCACTGGCAAGGGCTCCAGCCACACCACCCAAGATGCAGAAGGTGAAGGTGGGCACTGGAAGAAGGAAGAACAACCCACTGTAGGAAAAGATCAGGTTCAAGACCATTTAAGGAACCTGAAGAGCATGCATCCATGGGACCTCATGAGATGCATCCGCAGGTCCTGAGGGAGGTGGTGAATTAAGTGGCTAAGCCACTATCCATCATACTTGAAAAGTCGTGGCAGTCTGGCAAAGTTCCTTTTCCCGTCAGTGGCCGTAACGTAGCCTCCATTTTTTAAAAGGGAAAAAAGGAAGACCTGGGGACAAGCCAGCCAGTCTCACCTCTAGCAAGATCATGGAGTAGATGTTCCTGGAAGCTGTTCTAGGGCACATGGATAATAGGAGGTGATTGGTGAGAGCCAACATGGCTTCACTAAGGGCAAATTGTGCCTGATGAATTTGGTGGCCTTCTGTGATGGGGTTACAGTGTTGATGGACGAGGGAAGAGCGACTGACATAATCTACCTGGACTTGCGCAAAGCATTTGATACTGTCCTGCATGACATCCTAGAATCTAAATTATAGAGACATGGATTTGATGGATGGACCCCAAACTGGCTGGATGGTTGCTCTGAGTTGTGGTCAACAGCTCAATGCCCAAGTGGATAATGGTGACAAGTGGTGTTCCTCAGGGATCAGTGTTAGGACCGGTGATGTTTAACATCTTTGGTGACATGGACAGTGGGATCGAGCGCAGCCTCAGCAAGTTTGCTGATGACACCAAGCTGGGTGGCACAGTCGACACGCAGGAGGGAAGGGATGCCTTCCAGGGTGACCTGGGCAGGCTGGAGAGGTGGGACTGTGCAAACCTCATGAAGTGCAACAAGACCGAGTGCAAGGTCCTGCACATGGGTCAGGGAGATCCCAAGCACAAATACAGGCTGGGCAATGAGTGGGTTGAGAGCAGCCCCACAGAGGAGGACTTGAAGGGTATTAGTGGGTGGAAAACTGACTGTGAGCCAGCAATGTGCACTCACAGCCCAGAAAGCCAACCGTGTCCTGGTCTGCATCAAGAGAAGTGTGGCCAGCAGGTCGAGGGAGGGGATTCTCCCCTTCTGCTCTTGTGAGACCCCACCTGGAGTTCTGTGTCCAGCTCTCGGGCCCCCAACATAAGAAGGACACAGACCTGCTTGAGTAGGTCCAGAGGAGGCCACGAAGATGACTGAGGGGCTGCAGCACCTCCCTTTTGAGGACAGGCTGAGAGAGGTGGGGTTGTTCAGCCTGGAGAAGGCTCTGGGGAGACCTTACAGCAGCATTCCAGTACTTAGAGGGCTACAGAAAAGATGGGGAGGGACTCTATCGGGGAGTGTAGGGATAGGATGAGGAATAATGGCTTTCAAATGAAAGAGGGCAGATTTAGATTAGCTATAAGGAAGAAATTCTTTACTGTGAGGTTGGTGGGACACAGGCACAGGGTGCCCAGAGAAGCTGTGGCTGCCCCCTCCCTGGCAGGGCTCAAGGCCAGGTTGGATGGGGCTTTGAGCAGCCTGGTCTGGTGGAAGGTGTCCCTGCCCATGGCAGGGGAGCCAGAACTAGATGATCTTTAATGTCCCTTCCAACCCAAACCATTTTGTGATTCTATAATTAGTACAATAAAGTAGGGACTGATATTTTCCCTGAGGGAGAAAATCAGCTGCAACATTTCTTAAAAGATGGTAGGGG